TTGGTTGCAGCCGTCATTGTTGTTTGGCGGGTCCGGGCTGGGGATTCAAACCCGCCACCTTAGGTGTACGTGGCTGGCGCCTTAGCCGGTTGAGCCACAGGCGCCGAGCCCCAGTGTGTTATTTCAAAGGAAACAACTGGCAGTATTTATTGCCAATGATAAAATCTGAGCATTCAATTGAAAATTCAGTTTGGAGAATTTGAATCTGCCACTGTGAACCTGACAGCCTCAGCACACTTAACACTTTCTGATGAGATTGGTGAATGTGATTTTTTAGATATTATATAGTGAAATTTGTCAGCATTTGGAAGGTTGGTATAACTCAGTAAACCAATATTTCCAGATGAACAAACATGTTACAAAGTCATGTATGGATAAAACAACCATTCAAAATGCAAAATATATCAGTGAATTTTAATAGAACAGAGTGCAAAGCTTTTATTGATAAGATTTCCACTTTATAGCTAATACTTAAAGAACCACTACTTGGGCCAGGTATGGTGGCTCATGCCTGTAATCCCAGCACTTGGGAGACTGAGACAGGTGGATTGCCTGAGCTTACAGGTTCGAGACCAGCCCAAGACAGAGTGAGACCGCCTTTCCAAAAATAGCTGGGCGTTGTGGTGGGCGCCTGTATTCCCAGTTACTTGGGAGGGTGAGACAAGAGAATCGCTTATGCCCAGGAGTTTGAGGTTGCTGTGAGCTGTGATGCCATGGCACTCTATGGAGGGTGACAAAGTGAGACTGTCTCAAAAAAAAAAATAAAGAACTACTACTTGTTAGGTTTTGGTGTAGAATGAAAAAATAATATCCACAATTTTCTGGAAAGGCTGTTAAAATATTCCTCCCTTTTCCTACTGCATATCTGCAAAAGGCTGGATTTTCTTCATGTTATTTAATCAAAACAATGTCTTAACAGAATGCAGAAGTACAATCCAACTGTATTCTGTTTGGCCTGAAACATTAAAAAGATTTGTAGAAATGTAAAATTATGCCACTGTTCTTGCTATTTTTTGTTTGGAAAACATAGTTATTTTTCATAGAATATTGTTTATGTTAGCATGTAAAAGTTTGTTTTAAAATTAGTTAATAAATATTAAAAATGTTCTCATTTTTGGCAGGGTGCGGTGGCTTACGCCTGTAATCCTAACACTGGGAGGTTGAAGCGGCTGGATTGCTTGAGCTCAGGAGTTCAACTGCTTGAGCTCAGGAGTTCACCACCCTGAGCAAGAGCAAGACCCCATCTCTACTA